TAAAAAAAAAAAAAAAAAAAAAAAAACATGTTCTAGCCAAAATCTCTTTTCGCTTCACAAGAGCACTCTGAGGGAAAGGGTTCTCTGTAATCCCCATTTTACATGTGGGAAAGCTGAGATTTGGGCAGGAATGGGACTTAACTGAAGTCTCCCCTTGGTAAGTGGTAGAACAAGGGGATTTGACCTTAGCTGGAGACTGGCTTCCTCACCACCATCGCCTGGCAGATGCTCCACTCTCATGTGGTGGCTTCATCTGCACCATCTCATTTAATCCTTATAACACTACTGGGCATCAGACAACCATAACCTTACTTTAAAGAGAGGGAAACTGAGGCCCAGAGAGGTGGCAGAGCTCAGGTTTAAACCCAGGCAGGTTGGCACCAAGCTCACACTCTTAACCACCAGGTTAGTGCCTGGATACATGTAATTTTTGTTCTGGCTGCTGTGGGACCATTTGGGGAATGGGGTGTCTATCTGTCAGTGAGACCAGGTGGCAGTAGGGAGGAGGAGCCCAGGCAGCAGACATGGTCAAGAGCACCCCGAAGCTGGCGCCTGGGTGGACATGCTGAGCCCAGGCCTCCCTTGACCTCTCACCACCAGCTCCAGCTCCTCCTCAGGGACACCCCTGTTCCCTGAAGCCTCCCTCATGCCTCCTTCTACACCCATATTCCTGCGGTTGGCCCAAATACCAGACAGGGCAAATCTCAGCTTTTCCCCAAACATTCCTTATTCCCATGGCCCAGCCCAGGCTGGCTGAGGTTACAAAAGCAAAGCTGGGATGGTTGCTGGTGGAGGGGGGGATCGAGGGGACGGGCTGGCCTGTCCTCACCACCCCATCCGGCTGCCTGCCCTTCCTGGGGCGGAGAAGGGGGAGGCCCAGTGTCCCTTGAGTCCCTGGAAAAACAGGCTCTGTGTGTGTGTGTGTGTGTGTCTGCACGCGCTGGGGGGAGTGGTGGCCTGGGCTGAGAGATGGTGGGCGGTAGCAGCCACAGCAGAAGCTCCAGGAGGTGACTGCCTGGTTTCCATTAGGGAGCCCTGGTTTGCAGCTCAGGCAAAGGCAGAGTTGGGGCTGGTTATGGTAAGGTGGGGCAGGGAAGGGTCTGAGGGTAGAGCAGGGGAGGGTTTGAGGGTAGGGTCTGCCTGACCCCTACTCCTGGCTCTGCCAACTGGCTATTGCCCAGTCTGTGCTTGCCCTGTCATCTGCCCTGCCACCTAGTCCCTCCCCAGAGGCGAGGATGCTCCAGTCCTATGGTGACCCTGTGTCTGGCCTGGGGACACGCTGACCTCTCCCTACCCTCCCAGCAGCTAAGCCTGCTGCTGCTCCTGCTGTGGCTGGGCCCCCAGGCCACCCCTGGCATGGAGGATGCTGCCTTTCCCCACCTGGGAGAGAGCTCACAGCCCCCACCCCGGGCCTGCCCCCCACGTTGCTCCTGCCCCCGGGCAGACACTGTGGACTGTGATGGCTTGGACCTTCGAGTATTCCCAGACAACATCACCAGGACAGCCCAACACCTTTCCCTGCAGGTAGGGCCCAAGGAAGGGAAGAAAAGGGAGGAGGAATACAGAGGTGGGGTGGAGGTGTGAGTCCCAGAGGCCAGGGATAGCTTCAGTATCCTGGCCTGTGGCTGGAGACAAGGGTTGAGGGTAGAGACACTGGATGTGGGAGGGGCTGAGGGTTAGAGGGTGCTGGGTGGGGGTCAGCATTCTGGAAGTTATGGAATTACTTAAGGTTGTGTGATGGGGAGTTTGGGGTTGATTAGGGGGCATGGAATAGTCAGTCTTGGTAGTTAGGGGAGTGTTTGAGTGTGGTAGATGTATGACGAAGGGGATGAGGCCAAGGTCTTGGTGGTTATGGGATTATTTGAGGCCAGGGTGATGGGGCATTTGGTGTTGATTGTGGGGTGTTGGGGGGGTTGATATCTTGGCAGTTACAGGACTGTGTGGGGTGGGTGATGTCGGGGTTGGGCTTGTCTGGGCTGATGGGGAGCTGAGAATAGGGCTTGGGGTCAATTGGTGCAAATGGTTACAGGGTCAGGGATGTGACTGCCCTCTCCCCAATCATGCAGAACAATCAGCTCCAGGAGCTCCCCTATAATGAACTGTCACGCCTCAGCAGCCTACAGACTCTCAACCTCCACAACAACCTCATCTCCTCTGAGGGTGAGGTCCTGGCTGCTCTCTCCTCCACCCGGGGGCTGCGGGCAGCTGCTGTGGCAGTTCTGGGCAGTTCTTTGCTGAGCAGGATGGAAACTCAGGCCTGGGAGGGGGGCTGCTGTGGCTTTGGAGCAGGGAGTGGGGAGGGGCGGGAGAACCTGAGGGCCTGGGGGAACCTCTGCCAATTACTGGCCCAGGGCCCTGGGGTAGCTGGAAGCCCACCCCCATACCCCCACAGTGGCAAGACCAGGCTTGGGGTTCCCTCCATGCCCCCCACCCCTAGGCCTGCCTGATGAAGCCTTTGAGTCCCTTACCCAGTTGCAGCACATCTATGTGGCCCACAACAAGGTGAGCCCCCAGCCCAGCCCATCCAGAAAGCAGCCCAGGGGAGGGTCCAGGGTGCACCAGGACCAGCAGCTGTGAGTTGTGCTTCTGCAGCTTTCCGTGGCCCCCCAGTTCCTGCCCCACTCACTCCGTGTTGCCGATCTGGCTGCCAATCAAGTGATGGAGATCTTCCCCCTCACCTTTGGAGAAAAGCCTGCACTCAGGTAGTCCCTTGCCCAGTTTGGCCCGGCTTGCTCTCTGGCCTCAGATATGTGAGGGTCACTGTCCCATTCTGGGGAACTGAGGGAGGAACATTAAAAACTTTTCCCTGAGGCAGCGTGAGTGGTCAGAGTTCTACTCTGGGGCCTGAGGGAGATGACAGGGCCCAGTATGCTGATCCAGAGCACTACAGACTAAAGTGGAGAGAGCACATAGGGGCACAGATATGCACACTCACATTCATATACACACTCACCCACAGACTCACATTCACATGCACACCCACCTTCACATACACTTATACACTCAGACTTATATGCACATACATTTGCACTAACACACACAGATACACATGCACACATTCACACACCCAACCCACACACTCACACACATACACACTTACATGCAACCATGTGTACATGTGCACACTTGCCCAGACCAGCACACTCACATGTACATACATTTGCACATAATCATGAGCACACAGGCACATGCACTCACCCAGACTCACACAGGCACACACTCACACACTTGAATGCACATTCACAGGCTTACACTCATGTAATTACACACACATGCTTACACATACACGCTAAAGCTGGGGTGTGGGGTGGGCGTGGGGGGTTGTGGGCTGGCAAAGGGCAGGTCCGTGGCTGGAGCCTGGTTCCCCCTCAGGTCCGTGTACCTCCATAACAACCAGCTGAGCAATGCTGGCCTCCCGCCCGATGCTTTCCACGGCTCCGAGGCTGTTGTCACCCTCAGTCTCTCCAGCAACCAGTTCAGCTACCTGCCACCCAGCCTGCCACCCTCACTGGAGAGGCTCCACCTGCAGGTGCTCCTCCTTCATCTCCCTGCTCCTGTCCTCACCAGGGCTCTGGCTCCTGTGGGTACCCCTCACTTTCCATTTTTCCAAATGCCCCCCAGAATTCCACCAGTCAGAATGGCCTTTCTTTGATTCACTTCCACTGGCATGGGTTGCCTGCAAACACTCGCTGAGCAGCCTTGCTCAAGGCCAGCTCCCTGCCACTCCCTTCCTCAAGAACTTTCTACAGCTCCCCTCTGCCCTCTATCTCTCAGACCTTCTGTCTCATTCTCTTCTCCCTTTCCCAGAACAATCTCATCTCCAAGGTGCCCCAAGGAGCTCTGAGCCGTCAGACCCAACTCCGTGAGCTCTACCTCCAACACAACCAGCTGACAGACAATGGCCTGGATGCCACAACCTTCAGGTGCAGTGTTGTGGGGGCAAAAGGGCCTGACTATTTATAGTTTTGGGGGGTCCCAACCTTCTGTTCCCCTCCCCTGTGTGGCTCCTAACTCCTCATTTGCTAAGTGCCTACTGCATTTCAGGCAGGTGTGCTTGTTCCCTATAGTCTTGCCCTGAGGTTTCCTTACTGATGTCACAGATGCCACACATATTTCTCTTAGACCCGGGACTTTCTCTGGTTACCTTCCCTCTCAGGCTATTGTTGGCCCTAAGCACCCCAAATTTCCTTCTGACCCAGGTCTCTCAACACTCCCAAGTTGAAATCTCCGACCTAAATTTGTCTGAGGGCTCCTCCCTAGTCTCCTCTACAAGATCTGTCAGGCCCCACATTCTGGTATCCAGCTCAATGCTCATCCTCTCTCCCAGCAGCAAGCTGCATAGCCTTGAGTACCTGGACCTGTCCCACAACCAGCTGGCCACTGTACCTGCTGGCCTGCCCCGGACCCTGGCTGTCCTGCACCTGGGCCGAAACTGCATCCGGCGGGTAGAGGCAGCTCGGCTGCGTGGGATGAGGGGCCTGCTTTATCTGCTGCTGCAGCACAACCAGCTGGGGAGCTCAGGGCTGCCAGCTGGGGCGCTGCGGCCACTGTGGGGCCTGCACACGCTGCACCTTTATGGCAATGGGCTGGAGCGTGTGCCTATGGCGCTGCCCCGCCGCCTGCATGCCCTGGTGCTGCCCCACAACCGCGTGGCCGTGCTGGGTGCCCGTGACCTGGCCTCCACGCCTGGCCTAGCAGAGCTCAACCTGGCCTATAACCTCCTGACCAGTGCCCGTGTACACCGCCGGGCCTTCCGCCGGTTGCACAGCCTCCGCAGTCTCAACCTGGCTGGCAACCAGCTGACCCGGCTGCCTGCAGGCCTCCCAACTGGCCTGTGTGCCCTGCAGCTGCAGCGCAACCAGCTGCGTGCACTTGAGCCTGAGCCACTGGCCGGCCTGGATCAGCTGCGAGAGCTCAGCCTGGCGCACAACCGGCTCCGAGTTGGTGACATTGGGCCTGGCACTTGGCATGAGCTACAGGCCCTCCAGGTCAGAGGCAGGTTGGTTAGGCATGCTGTCCCCTCCCCTCCACTGCCTGCCCTGTTCCCACTGTGGGCCAGGCCTGGGATAACTGAGACGGTCTCAGCCTAGAGGCCTTTGCCTGTGCCGTCCCTGACACCTGATCCTCTCTCAGCACCTACTCCACCTCCCTAGGGAATACCTCAGCTTGTAGCTGCTTTTGGCACCACCAATTCCAGAGTTCTAAAGCAGTGGTACCTAACCCTTTTGGCATCAGGGACTGGTTTCACGGAAGATGATTTTTCCACATACTTGCAGGACACAGCATTCAATTCTCATAGGGAACCTGAGGCCTAGACCTCTTGCACGCACAATTACAGTGGGCTAGCGCTCCTATGAGAATCTAATGCTGCCTGAGGTGAGAGGAGGGGAGCTCAGGTGGTGATGTGAGTGATGCCCATCATGGCTGTAAATTCCCTTGCCTGTGGCTTAACTCCTGCTATGCCCCAGTTCCTAACAGGCCATACAGATGGCTACCATCCATGGCCCAGAGTTTGGGGACAACAGTTCTAGAGCATCTGAGTGCCAGACACTGTTCTAGGCAGTGGAGATACAACCGCTATGTACCAAACACAGCTCTTACCACCCCGCCCCCCAAATATCATAGTTAGGCAATCAGTGACTGTCATAATTAGGAAACGATAGAGTGTTAGAAGGTGATGAGGGGTGTGGTGTGGAAGAAACTGTGAGTGACTCATTGAATCAGGCAGAGAACCATCTGTGCCCCAGTGCCTGAAACATGGCTTGGCTTGCCCCCGGAGGGCCTTTGAGGAGAGGGTCTGGGGTCTGGCTGAACCCAATAGTCCAGGGCCTAGGGCTGCCACAGTGCTATCTCTGCCCCCCTGCCCAGGTGCTGGATCTCAGCCACAATGAGCTGTCCTTCGTGCCCCCGGACCTGCCTGAGGCCCTGGAAGAGTTGCACCTGGAGGGCAACCGCATCAGCCACGTGGGACCCGAGGCCTTCCTCAGCACACCCCGCCTGTGTGCCCTCTTCCTCAGGTGCCCCAGTGGTGGCTGGGCAGATCAAGGTGGGCAGGGGAGGGCCCAGGCAGCTCTACTTTCAACACAACCAGCTGACAGACAATGGCTTGGATGACACAACCTTCAGGATGGTGGCAGCCAACCCTTGCCACCTGCCCTCATGACTGCCTCTCTGTCCAGGGCCAACAGGCTTCATATGACAAGCATCGCTGCCGAGGCTTTCCTGGGCCTCCCATACCTGCGTGTAGTGGACACGGCAGGTAACCTGGGGCAAGTCCTGGTCCAGCTGCCACCCACCACCCAAAGTGGGCCACAGGCAGGAGGTTCCTGAGCCTGGAGGGGCCCAGGAGAGCAGCCCTGACTCCTGGGGCTCTGCTGGGTCATGGACTAAGGAGATCCACCCAGTTGGGGCTCTCCTAGTCCTCAAGGACTGGGCTTGCTCTGCCAGGTGGTGCCAGGGCATGGTGCACAGACAACAATGGCCCTGTGGGACATCCCCCCCCCCCATGCAGAGGATGATGGTGACAATAAAGCCTAACATTTTGTTCACCCCGCAGCAGGCACCATTTGAGGGGCTGCCCACTGACTCCTCCATACAACCTTGCAGTAGGGGCTGTTACCCTCCCTGAGTCCAGCTTGGGAAACTGAGGCTCTGGGATACCAGGTCCAAGGCCCTGGACCAGTAAGCAACAGGGCTGGCTTTGAGGTCCTGAGACACACCAAGCAACACCATGCATGACCCAGCCACATGTAAACCCAGAAACACCCAAGGCCACCTCAAGAAACACAGAGCAACAGATGTACAGATCTTCAAGTAGAATGCACCCTCCACAAGCACATTGCTCCACCCCAGCCTGCATCTCTGACAGGCGCCTACTCACTCACCTCTAGGGAAACTGAGTAGGGAGTAGAGACCCAGTCTGGCACTAGGGCTAGAGCCAAGAAACAAAGACAAGACAGAGCTGAGTGTGGCCCTGGCTGTTTACTCCATGTGTTGGCCCTGGGTGGGTGGGGGGCCAGCAGGGCCTGGATGACCCTCTGTGGAGCTAGCAGGGCTTGGCCAGCTTCAGCGGCTTCTTTGGGGTATAGGAGGGCTTCAGGGTTAAGGCTGGGAAGGGACAGAAATAAAGTGCTTGCAGGGGCCCTTGGGGCTTGGTCTCAACTGCCCTCCCCTCTCTAGGGCAGGCTAGAGGCCAGACACTCCTGGGCTGTGCAAACAGGACTCTCCTGGGCCCACCCAGCCAGGCCTAAGTGAGGGGCACATGCTGGCTGACCAGCATTGTCCCCAGCGCCTCCAGCTAGGGAGGCTCTGGCTGGGCTGGAGGACAAGTCCAGAACTGATTGTCCGCTGATTGTCTACTTGTCTTGTGGGTGGCCATGTCAGCTCTTCCCTGCACCAGGGCTGTGGGCCTGCTACCCGCTCTTGGTGGACTGCCTGCTCCATTGGCCTCTCATCTGCGAAGTCTCTGCAGCTGGGGGACAGGTCACAGAGGTCAGGGCTGGCCATGACCAGCCACAGTGACTCCCCCACCCCTATCCCCAGAGTTGCTCACCTCGCTCTCCACCAGATTCCGCCTGTAGAGTGCCTCCTTTGCAGCTTCCTGCAGGGCGGCAGGCAGTCAATGGGCAATCCCTTTAGTCCCATCCTGTGGTGACCCAGTGCCCACCTGGACCATGCCCAGCTCACCCTGCTGCCATCATTGCCCAGGCGCCGGGCAGCCTCTGTGTAGAACTGCAGCTGACGCTCCAGCTGGGCTGTATACTCTAAGGGGGAGGCAGGGGACGGGGTAGGGCTCTGCCACCTGTCCCTCCCTCACCATGCCCATTCCCACACCCCTTCCCTGCCAGATACCTATCCTGAGACCCTCCACCCTAGATAGCCATTCTGGGCCCGTCCCCCTCCAGATGTCCATCCTGAGTCCCTCCCTTACCAGATGTCCATGCCCAAGCCCCTACCCCTCCGGATGCCCACTCCTCCCTGCTCCAGCTGTGCCCTCTGCCACTGGAGGCGCTGCATGATGTCCTGGTACTGCTGGGCTACATCCGGGGGCACTGGTCGCCGTGCCTGCCTGAGGGCCAGGATCTGAAGGACACAAAGGAGCCTGCTATAATCCTGACTGGGCCTGCAGACCCCCCACTCTCAATACTGCCCCACTGGGCCCAGCAAGGTGGGCACTCACTTTCCGCTCCAGACGCTCTTGATCAAAAGCCAGCACGCTGAGGCTATGCAGAGGCCGGGCTGATCTAAGGGGTGGAGGAAGAATGAGAGGCTATAGGGATTCTCCCTGCCCAACCCTGTTAATTCAACAGACACGCTGGGCAGAGGGGTACAGTGGCAGACAAGTGGTATTATGGAGCCCATAACCTAGTGGAGATGATGGCTATACACCCAGGCAACTCTGATGCCTAGTGGTCAGGGAGGATTTCCTGGAGGAGAGGACACCCAAGTTGGGACCCAAAGAAGGAGTCAGAATTGGTGAGAGGAACAGGAAGCAAGGATGGAGATGGGCACTCAGGAGAGTAGAACACAGAAGCCCAGAGGCCAGAGAAAACTATGTGTGGCTATGACTGACAAGAGGGAAGGAGTAGGGAGTGAGAAAGGTGGATATATTGACAATGGTCAATCACAAAAGGTCTTGAAGATCAACCCAAGGAATTTAAACTGGATCCTCCAGGAGAAGGGATGCCAGGAAAGGTTTTGAAGCAGGGGAGGGACATGGTCCAATCTGTGCTTGATGGGAAACTGTCCAGGAAAGGCTGACAGGTGAAGAGTGGCTTCCCTCCAGTGTGGCCTGGCTCAGCCATCTACCTGTTCCCTGGATCCCTTGTAGGGGCAGGCACAGGAGGGGCTTTCCCTTTGGGTCCAGCAACCTGCTTCAGAGGAGAAAACACATCCTATGAGTCCTGGGCCCCCTGAACCAACCCTCCCTCCCTGGGGCTGCTGGTGGGCAGTGGTCTCACTGTGGGCACAGTGGTTGGCACAGGGTCGATGACCAGCCACCTCTCAGTCGTTGTCTCCAACTGCTGGGCTGTCAGTGGCTCTCGAATCCGGACCATCACCTCCAGTCGCCCCCCTGTGGGCCGGCGACCATCAAGGACCTGGGTAGGGGTAAGAAGATGCTACATGTGGGAAGAAGCAAGAGATGGCTGCAGGCCCTGGGACAGCACCAGGGAGAACCAAGGTGATTTCTAAAATATAAATCCATGGATATGGCTGAGACACCAATTGATCCTAATGGAGCATGGTGCTGGGGTATTTAGGGCTGGGCAGTAGGGATACCTGGGACTCCAAAAGGAGGGGCTGGGTCAGCAGAGAGGCCTTGTAGCAGGTAGTGCTTGAATAATGTTAACACAGAGCATATAATGAATGTCTACCTCGTACCTCAAGGATCTCTCGGACCTCACACGCTGTCTCCAGGGCATCCAGCTTCAGCTGTGCTATCCCCAGCACCCGGTCAGTCTTGAACAGCCCCCTGTGTATGTGTGTGTAGAGGGGACAGGATGGTTGTCCAAGACAGCACCCCCTTCTTGGAGCCCACCCAATGCCCGTGGCCCTAGCTCACCCTTTGTGGACCACTTCAAATTTGATGCCTTTGGACTGGATGGCCCTTCGGAAACCACGGTGGCTGCGGTTGATGCAGAGTTTAAACTGTTCCTTGAACTCTGCCAGGGGAAGGAGCGTGAGACAAGAGGAAGTGGGGTGGTATTGGACCATGGTCTCATGTTTATTCTGCAGGAGGTGGGGGGGGCTCACCAGGGGAGTCTGTGTTCTTGATCACACTTGTCTTATCTTTCTGAGCTTCCTCCTGTGACCAGAGAGCAGTCAAGAAATCTTAGGAGCTTGGGGCCTGACCTTGGACCCCCTTAATCTGATTCACCTCTTAGCCCATTGGGGCTTAAGCCCTCCCCTCCCCAGTTCCCCTACATACCACATTGGGATAGGGGAAGTCGAACCGAACAAAGACATCCAGGTCACCAGGGGACAGCCCTGTTGGCAAAAGAGGGTCAGAGCTGGGCAGAGAGGCAGTCCCCATGACCCTGACCCCAGGCTACAGCCCCCTCACCTGGGGGTGTGGGCAAGTTGATGCCCTTCCCGATGAATAGAAGCATGTCGTTGCTGCTGAGGTCAGAGAAGATCCTTCCGTGCATGCAAGTGGGCAGGGAAACAGACACCTCAGCCTCACTGCCCTCCTGTCTTCTCTTTCCTCAGTTGGGGCAGGGGACAGATTCCACTCTCATCTTTGAAAATGTCTCAACGTCTGGGCTCAAGTTTTATTATTTATTTATTTATTTAGAGATAGAGTCTCACTATGTCGCTCGCCCTCAGTAGAGGGCCATGGCATCACAGCTCATGGCAACCTCAAACTCTTGGGCTTAAGTGATTCCCTTGCCTGAGCCTCCTAAGTAGCTGGGACTACAGGCGCCCGCCACAACACCTGGCTATTTTTTTGTTGTAGTTGTCATTGTTTAGCAAGCCCCGTCCGAGTTCAAACCTGCCAGCCTTGGTGTATGTGGCCGGTACCCTAGCCACTGAGCTATAGGCACCAAGCCTGGGCTTGAGTTTTAGAATCAGATAGACTGGAGCTCTGTCTGCCATTGGCTAACTTATGGGTCCTTTTTTCAGTCTGCACATAATTTATTTGGTAACTACTATGCACCAGTTAGTGGCCTTGCTGCTAGGGTACCTTCCCTTCATTTAACAATATTTCTTGAGCACCTACTGTGTGCTGGCCAGCATCCTAGCTGCTGGGGGACCATCCCTTTGCTTAATTTCTTTTTCTTTTCCCTGAGACAGTCTCAAGCTGTTGCCCAGAGTAAAGAGCTATGTCATAGCTCACAGCTCATAGCTCCAACTTGGGCTCAAGTGATCCTCTTGTCTCAGTTTTTCCATTTTTAGTACAGACAGGGTCTTGCTTTTTGCTCAGGCTGGTCTCGAACTCATGAGCTCAAGCAATCCACCTACCTTGGCCTCCCAGAATGCTAAAATTACAAGCATGAGCCACCACGCCCAGCCTTTTTGCTTAATTTCTTGAGTACCTACTATACTCCAGCCAGTATCCAGGCTGCTGGGGAACCTTCCCTTTATGTAGTATTTCTTGAGTTCTACTCAGCACCAGCCAGTGGCCTTTTTGCTGGGGAACTTTTCTGACAGTATTTCTGGTACAAGTGCTAGCTAGCTGCTGGGAGACCATCACTTCATTTGCTATTTCTTTTTTTTTAGCCATAGTCTCACTCTTTTGTGCAGGCTAGAGTGCTATGGTGTTAGCCTAGCTCACAGTAACCTTAAACTCCTGGGTTCAAGTGACCTTCTTGCCTCAGACTCCCAAGTCACTGGGACTACAGGCACCACTACCATGCCTGGCTAATTTTTAGTAGAAACAGGGTCTCACTCTTGCTCAGGCTGGTCTCAAACTACTAAGCTCAGGCAATCCTCTCACTTCAGGCTTCCTCAATGCTAAGATTACAGGTGTGAGCCACCATGCCTGGCCTTCACTTGAATTTTTTTTTTTTTTTTGAGACAGAGTCTTACTATATTGTCTTTAGTAGAGTGTCATGGTGTCACAGCTCACAGCAACCTCAAATTCTTGGGCTTAAGCGATTCACTTGCCTCAGCCTCCCAAGTAGCTAGGACTACAGGCAGTTGCAGTTGTCATTGTTGTTTGGCCGGCTCAGGCCAGGTTTGAACTCACCAGCACCAGTGTATGTGGCTGGCACCCTAGCCACTGAGCTATAGGTGCCGAGCCCACTTGATATTTCTTAAGCCGTACTAAGCACCAGACAGTGCCCTTGCTGCTGAGGGAACTTCTTTTCATTTAACAGTACTTTTTAAGCATCTACTATGTGCCAGCCAATACCCTTGCTGTTGGGGATATAAAAGTAAATAAGAAAGCCCATGTCCCTGTGCTTAATCTAAATGGGTAGATGATACAGATATAAGAGAAACAAATAGAGCAATTTTCCAGAGAATTCAAATAGGGGAGAGAACAGAGCGTGCTCGGAGGGGCTGGTCAGGGAACAGACAGGGTGGTCAGGGAACATCGTAATATCATAGGGAGCTCTGAATGTCAAGAAACAGCTGCCACGTGGGGTGTGGGGAATAGGGTCTGGGCAGAGGAAACTGCCAGTGCAAAGGCTCTGGCTAGGAATGCATTTGGTGTATATGAGGGACATAAAGGGTTCTCCATGTGGTAGGAACTAGGCAAAGCAGGGACAGCAGGCAGAGATACAGTGACAGGGAGCCAGGATGCATGGACATGGAAGAATTGGGGTAAGGGGTGTGGGTTATCCCTGGTGCAGTTGCACCCAACCTCATCTAGAAAGTGAGAGAATGATGTCCACTCCTCAGGGCATAGAAAAACCAACCACCACCAAAATTATAACATGTCTCTGAGCTCTCACAGGCTCATCCAACCCTCTGGGACAATATACATCTTTGTAGTCACTGATTGTCCTCAAATGTGTCACTGTTGCTGCCTCCTTTGCTATCTTCCACTTGTACCTTAGGCCTGGCCCAGGGCCTTTGCATGTTCTGTTCTCCCACCAACCACCCAAACTTTGTTCCAGCGGCAAGTCTAGTGTCGGCTTCCAGGGAGTACAAACCCCGTCCCAAAGGGGTGTCTTGGCCAGAGGCCATCAGGGTCTTACTTAATGACACTGAAGGTCCTCTGCTCAAAGCGGGCTGCAGGTGTGGGTAGACCCCGGGCGAAGGCTTGCTTTAGGGTCTCCATGCTTCGCTTACAGTCCTCTGCCAGCTTCTCAAACCTGCCAGTGAAAGGGTCCTGCTCACATGCCCAGCCACAGCGGTAGGCTAGGGGGTGAAGATATCTAGTGGGAGTGGGGGCACTTACTTGCTAGTTTCAACAATGTTGCCTAGGTGGGTGAATTGGTTAGAGTAGTTCAGGCACATCTGAAGGAAGAGAAGGCAGTGAGGGAAGAAGAGGGAGGGTCCTTCCCCCAGAGGCAGAGCTGGCTGCCTCAGGTTGGTAGCCCACTTACCTCATGCTGCTGCCTTAACAGCTTGGTGAGTTCACCATAGCGCCGGGCGGCATCCTGAGTCAGACCTGGGCCAGGCCGCTGGACCAGAGCAAAGTCATCCTTGTTGACAGGAGCAGGTGGCACCTGGGGGATGAGGCTTGTGGGTAGGACCTACCTGGGGACCTATAAAAACGTCACTCCTCCTTAGGGAGGCCTTCCCTGACCATGGTTCCATATCCCTTTCTCCCTGTTCTTGGTCCCTCCACCATCCAACATCATGAGATCATCCTTCAGTCATTTAAGATATTGTGTATAGAGCCTCTATTATGCCCCAGATCCTGTTCTGGGGCTGGGGATACAGCAGTGAACAAGAAAGACCAAAACCCCATACTATTGTGGGGGCTAACATTCTCTTGGACAAAATCGGAGATTTTCAAAAGAAATAAGTAAATCACCTGAATAGAAGATGATAAAAGCTACAGGAAAAGTACAGTTGGGAGGAGGAACAGAAAGTTCCAGGTTAAAGGGAGAGAATTTGAGACAGGCAGTCAAAGAAAGTCCCCCAAAGACAGTGGACGTTTGAGCAGAGACCTAACAAGGGGAGCAAGTGAGCCATGCAGGTATCTGAGGTAAGAGCATATAGGCAGCAAGAACTGCATGTGTAAAGGCCCTGGGGTTGGACTGTGCCTGGATGAGGACCCCAGACAGATGGAGAGTGAGTGAGAGCAAGTAGAGGAGGCCAGGGAAGGGAGGTGATGGGTTAGATCATTCAGGGCCTGTGGGTCATGATAAAGGGCTTTATTTATTTGTCCTGCAGTCTCCCAACTAGGATGTCTGCTCCATAAGGGTAGGGATTTGTACGTTTTATTCAAGGCACAGGGAATACAGAGTATACTCCTTAAATATTTCCTATTGAGGATGTTGCTCCATGGCATGAGATATCACAGCTGTTTTGTTTTGCTTTATTTAGTGACAGAGTCTCTCTCTCTTGCTCACCTAGGCTAGAGTGCAGTGGTATGATCGTAGCTCACTGTAACCTCAAACTCCTGGCCTCAAGCGATCCTTGCACCTCGGCCTCCCAAAGTGCTGGGATTACAAGCATGAGCCACTGTGCACAGCCTCTCATGACTGTTTTTCTTGGAGATGGGGGCCATTGTCCCCACTTCCTCAAGGAGGAAAATGATGTTCAGAGAAAAGTAAGTGGTCCTACCCAAAGTGGCAGAACGTTAAATGTCTCTCCAAATTTGATTCCTTCTCCTTCCCTAATAATGGCATTCTAGCCAGGCACAGGGCAGCCCAGCAAGAAACTACATGTCCCAGGCTCCTTTGTAGCTAGGTGTGGCCATGTGACTATTCTGGCCAATGACAGACAAGTAAGTGATATCATTTCCTTTGAAGGAAACCACTAGCTCTGCCTTTCTTCTCTCCCTTCTCACAAGGCTGGACAAGATACATTTAGGTCACGTTGATAAGGATGACCCTCTAGGGTGTAACAGAACAAGAAGAGGGAAAGAAGCTGGACCTTAAAAGATCTGTTGCAGAGCCCAGACTGTACTGGGTGCTACAGGCAAGAAATGTTAAATGTCCGTCTCACTTCTGGCTTACAGGGTCCTATTTGTTATAGCAGCTTAGCCTGGACCCTGATTAATACATTCTAGGTCATATAGCTGCTAAAGGGCTCAACTGGAGCCTCACTGGTGGGTGCCTAGGCAATTCCTGGAGAGACCTGGGAGGTTCACCTTGGTGATGTCCACAGGCAGCCCATTGCGTGAGGCCTCCAGCATGGGCTCTAGTCCCTTGGCCTGGCGCAGGTGCATCTTGGCGCCCTCCACATCATTTTTCTGCTTGGCTCGCAGTGCAGCCTGTAGGAGCTGCTTCTTCCGGCCCTCCAGGAAAGCCAGCTGCTGTTGGGCTGTGGACAGATAACCTCTGTGGGTGCTGCCAGCCCTTGGTCAGGTAACAGGTAGCCAGGGTATAGAGGGGTGCACCTACCTCTGGTGGATGTGCCTTTAGGGGCTGCTTTGGCTGCGGAGGCTGGTCCTGACTGGGGAGCCCTTGAGGGTGGGGCCTTGGGCTGGACTGTGGGAGTCACAGGGCTGTTCTGCTGATGACAGAACAGAGAAGACATCAGAGATTTCCTAGCACCTGTGAGCAGTCCACACCTCAAGGGTAAGGGCCTAACACTGATAGCAATGGCCACCTTAATGGATCACCTGAACTTAGCTTGGGTGCTATCCCCTGCCTCAATGCAATATCCTCATACCTTCTTAGGCACCTCATCCTCTTCATCCTCTGGGCCTTCATCCTGATTGGCCAGCTTCATGGCAGTCTCTAGGACACCCACTAGGCTCTGCTGGACAGACTCAGTGGCCTCCAGGCCCTGGATGGGGGGAAAGCCTGGACAGCCAGTTAGGGCCCAGTCAGGGAGGAGAGCCCTCATGCCATCATGGCAGACATGCGTGTTCCTCCCCATCTTTGGAGTCTTGGGCTTTAATTTTTTAGGTTTTTTTTTTTTTCTTGGAGACAGAGTCTCACTTTGTCACCCTTGGTAGAGTTTTGTGGCATCATAGCTCACAGCATCATAGCAACCTCAAACTCTTGTGCTCAAGTGATTCTCTTGCCTCAGTCTCCCAAGTAGCTGGGACTATAGGCATCTGCCACAGTGCTCGGCTATTTTTTTTTAAGAGACGAGGTCTTGTTCTGCCTCAGGCTGGTCTCAAACCCGTGAGCTCAGGAAATTCACCTGCCTTGGCCTCCCAGAGTGCTAGGATTAAGGTTTGAGCCACCACGCCATACCTGGTCATTTTTTTAGTTTTTTGAGATCAGGTCTCACTCTGCTTGGCTCGCAGAGCAGCCTGTAGGATCTCTGCCTGATCTGCTGCCCAGACCAGAGTGTAGTGGTGTCATCGTAGTTCACAGCAACTTCAAATTCCTGAGCTCAAGCCTATCCTACCACCTCAGCTTCCCAAGTAACTGGGATTAAAGGCATGTGCCAGCAAACTTGGCTAATTTTTCTAATTTTAGTAGAGATGGGGTCTCACTATACTACTCAGGCTGGTCTCAAACTCCTGGCCTCAAGCCATCTTACTGCCTCAGCTGCCCAAAGTGCTGGAATTACAGGGCAAGCCACCATGCCTAGCTGTCTTAGGCCTTTAAATCTACTTTGAACCCCCAAATGGAGCTGCTGGTGGTCCTGTTTAGATACTAGACCATTCCCAACCTCCCTCTTATCTCTTGGCTTCTCTTGCTGGACCCCAGGCCTTAATTGGACTTCAACAAAAAAAGACGGGTATCCTCTATGTGAGGGGCTATGCTGGGCAGTGGGCCTAGAGGGGTCCCAGAGGACCAAGATGCAAAGAGATAATTGATCCCATGGAGGCTGCACAGGCAGCACCTCTGAGAACTCAGAGGTGGCCTCTGACCACTGGGGGTGCTAATAGAAAGCTAAGCAAGTATCTGCAAAGCGGAAATCTGCAAACTAGGGAGAAATTAGTTAAATAAAAAAGAAAAGGACAGTGGTGGTCTAGTAAATAAGTTCTCAAAAACATCCCGAGTTTTTGTGTTTGCCAATTCCCATGATGCAAACACTCCTGTCACGATCAATGTCAAGTTACCAATTGCTTAAGAAATTTGCAGAATTCTTGAATATGTAGCAACGAGCTCCCTGTGCCTATCCCATCAGAAGGAACAGCATCTGCAAAGGTTCAGAGGCAGGAAGAGTAGGAGCCAGGAGCAGGGCCTACCTGGGGGCACAGGCAGCTCAGCCACATCCACGGCTCGGCCAGCCTTGTGGGCTCGGATGGCATCTTGATATTGCTGCAGGGGACACATGTGTTAGGGCTACCTGGAGAAGGTCTTTGGGGGCTGCCCATTTGCCACCCAGCCTCCTTGCACCTTGATGATGCGCTCATGCATGCGAGCCTTCCGCTGGTCCCCCTTGCTCTTGGCCTGGGCTGAGGCCACATGGTAACGCTCCATCCGCTGCTCTAGCGCCTCCAGTAGGGTCCTTGGGGGTAGGGGGACATCTGGACCAGATTAGGGGCAGGGTTAATAGTTGAGGAAAGGAAGACTGCCTGGCCCCAGCCTGCCCACCCAGAGGGTCCCAGGAGCCTACCTGGCATGGAGGGTGCTGTGGCAGGAGTCAGAGGCTGTGGTATTGGTGATGGTGGGTCTGAGGGCAGCTGGTCTGGGGACAGAGAGGTCCAGTCCATTGAGGGGCTTTCTTTACCCACACCTACCCCAGACTGGTCTGGCCTCAGGAGGTCTCTAAGGCTGACCAATGGGGGTAACAGCATCAAGGGAGAACTTAATGGATGCCTCAAACCATCTTGGAAGATGGGCAGGATGGGGTCCTCACCAAGTGGAGGGGGCAGGTGAGACAGGTCCACGGGCTCCCCCCGGCTCAGAGACTCCAAGATGGCATCAAAGCTCTGGGAGAAGGAAGATTAGGGTGGGAGGTTGAAGTTGGGGGCCAGGACCCTATAGGGTACCCCCATGCCCTCCCACACCACAGAAAACTCCTAGCTCTGTCCCTTCTTTTGTATCTTCTTGCTTAATCCTCTTCTGATACTCAGACCCATTTCACAGAAGGGGAAACTGAAGCTGTAAGAGGCATAGCAAACTATAGCTAGGGAGTGACGAAGCTAAGATTCAAATTTGGGTCTGCCTGACTCAGAAGCCTATCTTGTTTGCCACCATGCAATGTTGGAAGCATCTTGCTCTTTCTTTCTGCACCCGTCAGTTTTGATGCACCTTGGCCACACGGAAGTATCTGGTAGCAGTGGCGGAATCTCCCTGCTGCTTGGCTTGGAGGGCAGCCAGCTTATACTCCCGCTGGCGGGTCTGCAACTGGGTCAGAGGGCTGGGGCTACAGGGACCTGGAAGGGGGAACAGCACACAGGAAGGATCTGGAGCCTGGACAAGTTCACCACACAAAACATTTCTATCTACATCTTGCAACTTTCAAAAAAAAAAAACAGAAAGAAAGAAAGTGGTGTCTACATCTTGCAACAAAGACCAGGATTGGGCCCATTTTATAGATGGGAAAACTGATGCTCAGAGAGGGGTTGTTGCCTCTCCAAAGTCACACAGCTTAAAGATGGCATAGTGAGGACTCCCCTCCAACCCTAGGCCTGGCAAGCTCTAGAGCCCTAGCTATTTTGCCCCCAAGAGAATTTTGAAAAACTATTTATGTGCCTATCTACATTTTTAATTTAGTATCTATCAGTTTTCATCTTACATTTAAAAAGTGGCTAAGATTTTATTACCAGTGTCTTGCAAATATTGACAAATTGAAAAAGAAAACTGTCACATCACACATTTAAATGGTATTAATGCCTTTTAACTATTACAGTGACTTAAAACTCACCAACACTCATTACTTTTTTTTTTTGAGACAGAGTCTTACACTGTCCCCCTAGCTAGAGTGCAGTGGTATCATCATAGCTTACTATAACCTCAAACTCCTGGGTTCATAAAGCATCAGCCTTCTGAGTAGCTGAAACTACAGGCAAGTGCCACCATGCTTGGTTAATTTTTGCTATTTTTAGTAGGGATGGGGTCTTACTGCTGCTCAGATTGATCTTTTTTTTTTTTTTTTTTTTTGTTGAGACCGAGCCTCAAGCTGTCCCCCTGGG